ACGTTTTTTAATCGCACGTTTCTATAATGTTTCTTAATCACACACATGTAAATAAGCATGAAATCTAAACTATATTAGATGTAGGAAAAATATATTCCATAGCTCTATTTTGTAAATTTTAAAGCATATATTTTTTGTTATTTATATTTATTGGGCTTTCAATGTTTATAAAAAACACATTTTTATTATATATTAAGTCATTTGCTTACTTTATACTTTAAAAGATTAACTAACTTAAGGATATCTCCTTATTAGTAGTAAACCTTATATTATATAGTTTTGGATTATAGACTTAACTGTAATTAGCATTAAATATTAAATTTCTTTAAGTAACGTTGCAGAAATTTGGGTTCATAATGTTAATTGTATTCGGTTACAAAGAATTTTTAAATAAAAATTTAGTTTGGTTGATTTTTTTTTTGTTTTTTTTTTTTTGCAATATTTATTGTTTGAATTTCGGGAAGTTTTAAAATATTCCATAATAACATGTTGAAAATTTTTTTTCTTTTAATGTATAAATGTTTTTACTTAAAAAAATTCAAAAATTTAAAATTTTTAATTTAATTTTATTTAGTAAAACATATTGCTTGGTAATATTTATCTCTTTAACGATAAACTATATTTTTTGAATTCTCAATTGTATGTTAATAACTTTATAATTTAAAAAGAGGCTATGATGTATTTTATTCAATTTCAGGAATATTGATAATTTGTTTATAGCTAAATATTATAAAATTGTAATTAGATTATATTTTTATTATTTGTTAATAAATGGTGCTTTTATAAAATTAAAACAATTATTAATTGGTTACAAAGTAGCAACTTAGAATTGATTTTTGTTTTTATCAAATTATTATCGTCGTTTTTTAAATATAATTATTTTTTTAAAAATATTTTTAATTTTTTCAATAGCTTGTTATATATTGTAAGCACGATTTCTTTAATACACTTTTCAAAAATTTGTGATTTAAAAATTTCTCAAGAGTAAAAATATTTCTATTTAAATAAACGTAAAAATGGTATGTGACCCAAAAATAAACCAAAGAGATATTTAATAATTCATTTTAGTATATATAAATATTTTATACCTTTTAACTTTATAATTAAAATTAGTATTAAAGCTTGAATATTATAATTTTAAGTATTATATCTGAAATTATTAATAATTTTACTGAAGGAACTACTAGTTAAATCTTTCATTCATAAAAAATTAGAAGGTTTACTTATACAAGCATAAGATCAGTTTCCGATTCAAAACAAAAAAAAAGGAAAAAAATTTTTTTTTAGTGGTATAGAATTTGTGCTTTAGAATATTTTTTGACAATTTTTTTAAAGAATTGGCCCGTTCATTTATTTTTTTTTTCGATTCAAATCACTCCAGCTTTCGATTAAGTCCTATGAGCAGCAAGTCTTGTATTTTAAAAGTTTATCGTCATCCTGATTACGCATATCCCTTAAGAGTGTGAGTCAGAACGCAAGCTGAGCTTCTTGGAAATCGTTGTTTTGCTAGAAAACTGCAGCAATTCAATGTGGAAGATTTAAATTTTAAAGTACATAGTCAGTGATAACAAATTTTTATGCAAAAGTGTGAATTCTAATACTCTCTGTCAATCACCAGATATAACCCAGTAAGAGTAAAAGTCTTGCCGATTTCATGAAATAGTTGATTATTAGCTAAAGCAATCCGCCAAATGAAAACTTTTTTTTAGTCCAATGTACCAGTACTGTTCTCACCTAAAAATAAAAATACGAATCTTTACTGTAGAGACCATCATTAACAAGTTCAGTGTCGGGGCTTGCTCATGGGATGTTCGTCAGACAGTAGTTGTTGTTTTTATAGGGTTTGCTTCTTTTATAATTTAAATAATGAACAGGGTGATCAAAAAAAGTAAATAAATTGTTGAGTATTTTTTTTTTAAATAAAATAGTTTTAAAAATTATATTTTATTTTTTGTTAAACAGTTTTAAAATATTCAGCTTTCTCTGCATTATAATTCTCATTTTAATTACTTGTGAAAGAATTTTGATCGATTGATTTTAAATGACAATAGACCTGATGTTTTTCAAGTAAATTGAAATATTTACTTACATCTGTGCTACTAAGAACAGTTCTTCCTCCAGCTTGGAGGAAATAAATGAATTATTTAAACGCAGCACTTTCTTCCATCTGCCTTACTTTTATATGTTCTTGACTAAAGGGAAGAGAGATTGCGAACTATTAATACAAAATTCTCTCTTAGAATAAAATTCCTACAAGAATCGGAAAATAGTTTCCCTCTTTATTTTTGCTTACGAGAAATCTGAATGTTTATTGGCTAAACGGTAGGAGGGCGCGGTTTTGACGCAATGTCGGAATGGATTATTTTTGTAGAAGGCGGAGCAAAGAGTTCTCTTGTCCCGCCTACTAGTAGTCCTTTAGTACTTCCTTTCCCCTCCTTCTATTAATGAACTATAAATAAGCCGAAAGCATGCTTTCATTAAACAAATGCAATTAAGCATTGCATTTTGAAATATTCAAGACAAGCAATTGCTTAAGCATGCGAAATAAAATTTGAGTTTTATTTATATGCATTAGTAGGTATTTTGTTTAATAAAAAAATATTGCAAAATATTGACCATTTTAAAAAACTTACATTTTTTTACAGGAAAAAAAAATAAGTGTCGCTTTAAAGAAAAAAATAAAATACTTAAGTAAAAAATATAAAATAATGTTACATGGACCCTGATGTTCCCTAAAACTTGAATATTTTAATAAGTGTTTCGCATTGGCAAAAATATTGGGAAAAACTGTTATAGAGAATAAGGCAAAGGCTGTATAGGTCATTTATTTTATGCACAAGAAAAAAATGTAATTTATCTCTTTGATAGATTGATATTCCAACCATTGATCCCTATTATGATGCGACCGGAATTGCTGCGGAAATCGAGTTGCTATCAAGTGATGAACAGCAGGTGAGTAATAGATATTTGATACTCAATTATTATTATTAGTCATATTATTATTGACAAGAATTTAAATTTTTCCTTGCGTTTTGGTGAAATATTTTAATGATTAATGTTAGCGTAATCAGTTTTTGTGTTAATGTGCTTATGTCTAAATAGCACTATTCAATTAAAACGAGGTGCATTTCAAGTAATAAAAAATTTCCTTTTTAAAATCACCGCTTCTGTTATATATTTTAAGAATATCTATCATTTTAAAATTATGAACAAGTTTATGCTCAAGTTCTCACAGTTTAAATTCAATTTATCTTTAAAAGAAAATATAAAAATATTATATAATTATTATTATTGGCAAACATTTCAAAGTTTCTTTACGTGTAACATGTTCTGTAGCAACCGTCCAATTTTAAATAATGGACGAAATTCGGTTTATTAATAAATAATACTTAAAAGATTTTTTATGTTAAATGCCAAAGTGATCAAATTTTGTGTTAATTCGATTATGTCTAAGTAGTAGTATTATTTAAAAGAAATGCATTTCAAGTAATTAAAAAAAATCATTTTTACTTTAAAATGCAAGGTGTTTTGTAAGCACCGCTTTTGATTTTAAGAATCTCTTTCACACATCATGAAATGATGCGCAAATATTTGTTCAAGCGGAAGAAAAGAGAAAAAAGAAGAAAAAACACAAATTTAAAAAACTTTTTCGATATAATTATTTTAAAAAACTCAAATTTTATTATTTAATTTAAATATCGCAAAATTGGTAGCGTTTAAAAAATTTTCTTAGATTTCAGATTTGGAATGGATGAGTACATTACTTTTCAGGTGAACCCTTCGTATTATTCAGAACCTACTAATAGATTTTTCCTTCTGAAATTACGGTAAAATAACCGACAGCAGTCTGTCCATCCGATTAACTATAAAGTTTATGGTTAGAGACATTTCTTTACCGTTACCGGTTTAAAACTGTTTACGACTGCTACTGTTAAAAATCCATGAATAGAAAACTATACGGTTTTGAAACCATTTACAACCAGCGTAGATTCTAAAATTAATTGGAAATTGGAGCTCTGCTGTTGTTGAGCCATTTATGTGGGAATGGTTCAATATATATATAATGCATGATCACTGAAGAGTGCAGGACACTGGAAACTCTTCATGTACTGAAGGAGTGGAAGAAATATTGCACTATCAACGTTGGGATTCGAACCCCTTTTTAGTCAGTCACGTGATGGACCGTTTAGCCCTCTCATCTATAGTATGTATCCAGCATTACGGAATGGCTTTATTAAGTGAGCCGATTTGACGCGGGTGGAATTCTGGTTATTTAATCATATCAGGAAAAGCAATCAATAAAGCTTTTTCTCATGCTTAACAGCTTGAATATTATTTTTTACGGTAATTTAACCATTTTGATTGAATATGGTGAATCACCAATTGAATAAATCGCTAGTTAACCATTTTTACCAAGAAATTTCTTACAGTGCACTAACTGATATAATGGTTTTTTAAAATCTAAACTTTCGCCACATAAATTTAGTACCACTAATTTAAATGAGTATGATTCGTGACAGCCTTCTAAAAAAACTATGTTGATTTTTGTTTTTTAAAAAATATTTCTTTTTTAATGTGCCAAGTAATTAAAAATATAAGGTTTTCATTTTTTTTTAAAGAAAAGCGCAATTTTCGTAAGAGAAGCTTGAAAAACAGAATAAAATGTTATGTCCATGTCACTGAAGAGTTAAAAACATTTCCTTAATTAGTTATTTCCCTTTACCGCATTTTCAACAACCATTTTTTAAAATATATTTTTTAATCTAAGTTTATTTTCTTAATACGTATTTTGAGTTGCCCATTTTCGTAAAGACGCATTTTGAGCTGAGTCCATTTCTTTAAACACGTATTTTGAGCTACGTTTTAAAAAAAAATTCTCCGGATGAGTATTAAATTTTAATATAACGTTTAAGGAAATTATGTACTTACATTTATTTTGCTGTTTATATTATCAAAATGATAGAAATTAAAAATGTGAAAAAAGTTATTTATTCATTTATTTTTTAAAAAATTAGAAAGAAGCACCTGATAACTCGTCTCCTGTACCTGAAGATGATTTGGAAGTAAGAATAATTTTGTTATTATCAAGTTTTTATTTCTCTCTTTAGTGACAAAATGTCCAATTCAATTATCATTTCAGTGACTATTTAGTGACAAAATATTTTAAAAGTATAAATTTTGTCACATTTGCTCAACGATAATTTTAATTAAAATTACAAATAAATTTTGAATATCACATTTCAAATTATATGTATATAGTTAATCTTTCTTTTGGCGAGTTAAACTTCTAGCTCATAGTAAATCTAATAGAATAAAACCGCACCAGAATATACAACATATAATTAAGAGTTAAAGATTGTGTATTAGGTGCGCACAGTATGGTATCCGTGTTGGAGGATGATAAAAAAAATTAATACCACAGTGCCTATATTAAACATTATACCACTAATACTTATAACAGCAATACCAGTAGTATTTAAGGCTATATTTAATTCTTAAATAAAAGGCGTCATAAAAACTGGTATCTTAGGTTAAATATTAAAGGCGTCAGTAACACTCGGGCGAATTTTTGCGAACTTTAAAATGACCACCGATTCAAAAATAATTACATAAATATTGGTATCTTTACTAATAATATTCGATAACTGCAATTGATTAACTTGTGCCGTGGTAGCTCAGGGGATAGAGCCTTCACCTTCCAATGAGTTAAACCGAGCTCGAATCCCAGCGATGGCTTATTGATAGGAATTCTGCACCCGGCTCGCACCGATCACAGTGATGACGTAAGATACCCTCAATGGTAGGCGGATCCTGAATGGTAGAGGGATCCGTTTTGCCGTCAGGATCAGCATGAGAGGTTTTCGTGGTTTCCTTTCCACGCAACGCAAATGCGATTTAGTACCATCAAAAATTTTTCGATGGCGATTTTCTCCCAATACTAGATTCACGAGTTTCTTTGTCTTCTGGATTGGGTTTGAAATTACAAGGCTATGGAGTTGAACATTAGTAGTCCTAAACCCGATAATTGCGTCGGTTGTTCAACGACGGATATAAAATAAAATAATACTGATTAATTTAATTAATAGGTTAAATTAATAGGTTAATTAGGGTCGTTAAAAAACTAAATTATTGGAGAATAGAAATTGATTCATCGAGGAAAAAGCATAAAAAATTACCTCATTATTATTGTCAATGATGCTTAATTAATTTCAGCAATAATTAATAGTCTCAATAATGTTAATTGAAGCTTTTAAATAGTACACCTACTATTGGTACTGTAGAAATCCAAAAACTGAAAATTTACAATTACAATTTTATGTATTGAAAGCAATATTTTTTGAGAAATGTAATTAATAGAGTTTTTTTTTTAAAATTAAGATATATTTGAATTGCTAAAATAATGAACATTGNTATTTCAATTTGACTTAATCTAATTAATCTTTATTTTGATTATGCAAACTTCTAAAAACATGCCATGCTTAATCTGATAACATAAAATTACAGGGAAGGGCAATAAATAATAGTAATAATAACAAAAACTACAACTATTTTAGTTAAATTAATTGCATCACCAGATGTCTTTCAGTTGGTAACTTTGTCAGTAAGTCTTTCAGCTGTTTGTATAACTTCGTAGTGTTGATTGACACTGATTCTTATTGATGATTATTTCGTTTCTTACTGATGACTATTCGATTCAGCTAGTCATAATAATAATTAGTTGTATAAATTTTTTTTTGTTAAACTAAGTATTATTATTGAACATTCTTTTTTGTTTTTCGTTTTAAGCATATCGTAATGAATATTATTTTTGTTGGTATTATTATTCGCCATTGCTGTGAGATTTTAATTTAGATAATAATCCAAAAACTGAAAATTTACAATTACAATTTTATGTATTGAAAGCAATATTTTTTAAGAAATGTAATTTATAGAGTTTTTTTTTTTAAAAAATTAAGATTTATTTGAATTGCTAAAATAATGAACATTGCATAATTAATCGTTTTTACTTTTTTCAAAACAGGTTCTGGCTATTTTCATTGATAAGCTTTTAGCAAAAGACGAGAAGGAAAAATCTGCGCCTATGGTAAGATCTTTTGTTTTTAATTAAATTATCAATAAATTATAATTAAATTCTAATTAAGAAGATGAATTCTACTTCCTTGGATTTTTTTCCATAAATTCTGAATGTCTTTTTAATTATATCATACATACTTGTAAATATTAATACAATAATGTAATATTAATACAATAATTAATACAATAAGTAAATATAAATACAATACTTTTAATATTTTTTCTTTGCAAAATCAATAATAACTAAGTGCATTTTTTTATTAGCAGAAAATTGATGAGTAAATTATGAATAAATTATAATAAATTTTAATTTTTTTATTAAATTGTAATTAAGAAGATGAATTTCATTTCCTTATACTTTTTTTTTCATAAATTCTTAAGTCTATTTTATTATAACGTACATACTTGTAAATATTAATACAAAAATGTTTTTAATCGAGTGCCTTTAATTTTTTTTTCTTTGTAAAATCAATAATAACTAATTGCATTTTTTTATTAGCAGAAAACTGATGAGTAAATTATGAATAAATTATGATTAATTTTAATTATTTTATTAAATTGTAATTAAGTATATGATCCTTAGACTTTTTTTTCATTAATTCTTAAAGTCTATTTTATTATAACGTACATACTTGTAAATATTAATACAATAATGTTTTTAATCGAGTGCTTTTAATTTTTTTTTCTTCGCAAAATCAATAACAACTAATAGCATTTTTTTATTAGCAGAAAACTGATGAGTATAAGGAAATTTTGAAGATAAACGAAGTTTATGTAAGTATAGTATGATTGAAATTTAAAACAAAACATTGATTATTGATTTATTGTTAAGGGAAAATAGGTTACCTGCATCTTCTAAAAAAATGTTTTAAATTTCTGAATAAGAAGTTATATATTTATTGTTGTGAATCATTTAATTTTACAATAAACTTTCTGAAGTGCATGTGACGAAAAGATATTTCAAGACGCGAAAATAAATGACGCAAAATTTATAATATGTAAAAGTAAATGACTGCTCACATTACCAACGTAAGTTCCGATTTTCATTCATTGTTGTAAAAAATAGTTACTTATAATGTATTTGGCACAACAATGCCAAAAAAATTTCGAATTAAAAGTTATATCTAAAAGCCACATCTTTTGTCAGTATTTTTTTTTTTTTTTTTTTTNTTTTTTTTTTTTTTTTTTTTTTTTTTTTTTTTTTTTTTTTTTTTTTTTGCTGAAATATTCGTAAAAAAGATTAATGTGATGACTATTCGATTCAGCTATTGCTAAGTCTATTGCTGAAGTATGTTCTTTATTTACAATTAATTACGTTATATGTTACAAATATTTTTACAACAGTTAGTAAAGTTATTAATGCACGTGATACGACAAAAAAGGCACACAATATTTACCAGAGTTTATTTTTTATTTTACTTGTTATAAAAATGTTAAATAACGTAAATGTCAAGCAGGCATTGTCATAAGCCTATTATATGATGTCTGTTTTTTCTTTCTTTATTAATATTCTTGAATTCTTTTTCTTTTTTGAATTTTAACTTGTAAAACCATGGCTGGCCACTCCTACTGCGTGAAAGAGGGTATTAGGGCATCTTTTCTTGGTATTTTAATTTATTTGTAAATTTAATATTTTAATATTAACCATCAAATTTGCATGCAAGTGAATGCAAGCCTGTCTATAATTCTACGACTTAGAATATTGTAACAATAAAAATATGTTTGAATTATTATTATTTTTTAAAATGAACCCTTCTGTTTTAATCTCTCCATTTTATTAAACAATTAAATGTATGAAAGAAAAATAATCATGCGAAAAAATTAATCTTGGTAAAAATTTGGAGAAATATACACGTTAATTTTTAGTTGTTTATAAAAATCGTTTTCATCTTTTTTTTTTTAAAAAATTTTATATTTGTGTTTCCTATATATAAATTTTGTTCTTGAACTGCATATTTTTTATGGAAAGATTAAACTACGAATTGAATCCTGTCTGATAAAATGTTATTATATTTTCTGTTTAAATTGAAAAATTAGCTTCTTTTTCATTCTTTTAAATTTTTTTTTCAGGAAATAGACTGTATAAAGGCTGATCTATTCAGAAGTTCTGAGAATTATGTAAGAATGGTTTTTAATTTCTTATTAAATACAAATATTTTTTGATGATTATTAATTACGTATTTTTAATAATTTTTCTTCTTTTTTTTACAGATGATTTCGAAAAAAGAAACAAATATTACGAATCTCGAAAAAGAATGTGTAAGTATTTCGTGTTTTCTATCAATAATTTCGTGTTTGACTATTAAAATTAATACTAAAAATAATTTTTTAGCTGTGAAAGTTCAGATGCATCTTTCATTTCATTCACTGTATTTACTTGTTAGTAATTGCTCATCTTTATCTTTTACAGAAGGCTTCGGAAGATAATATATTTGAAAAGGCTAGCCATGTCGAAGAGGAACTGAAGGTGAATATCTTGAGAGCATTTACCTAAAAAGAAATGCTGATATTAATTCGAAAATTATTTTTTTACCTTCTTTAGACATTTAAACTATTATTTTTATATTTTCACTATTTTTCTTCCTTTATTTTTAAGAAAATTATTATTATACTCAATGTCGCTCTCATTAATAGCTCCCATTAATACTAGGTCAAATGATGCACTTATTTCAACTTTTCTTTAGACATTTAAACTATTATTTTTATGTTTTCACTATTTTTCTTCCTTTATTTTTAAGAAAATTATTATTTCACTCAATGTCGCTCTCATTAATAGCTCCCATTAATAGTAGGTCAAATGATGCACTTATTTCAACTTTTAGAGACCATAACACACATACTTGTAGACTAAAATTCTGAAAATTAAATTCTTATTCGATATTTGAATATTTTAAAATTCTGAGTTAATTTTTTTGAATACGTAATCAAACAAATATTTTCATGCGTTTTTATAGAAACAATTTAATGTATAATGATAAAATTTACAACTATTAATGAAATTCAAAAAAAAAAATTTTTTTTTGTTTTTTATTGAGTTTAGAAAAAACTTCATGTTTAACCAGAAAATTACTTTCATGTTATTTATCAACTTGCTTAGAAATATGTGTTATCATTGAGAATTCTTTTATTTTTCAAGGCTTTTGTTGCAGATAAAAACAACAAACTGATACGCAATATTAAAAACTTAAAAAAAAAAAAATGGTTTCATTCAGTTGATCAAATTATACATTTTATTTTTTTAATAATTAATATTTAATGTCTGAGATGCCATCTTATAATAAAACAGCTTTAATTTNTAAAAATAATTTTTTAGCTGTGAAAGTTCAGATGCATCTTTCATTTCATTCACTGTATTTACATGTTAGTAATTGCTCATCTTTATCTTTTACAGAAGGCTTCGGAAGATAATATATTTGAAAAGGCTAGCCATGTCGAAGAGGAACTGAAGGTGAATATCTTGAAAGCATTTACCTAAAAAGAAATGCTGATATTAATTCGAATATTATTTTTTTACCTTCTTTAGACATTTAAACTATTATTTTTATATTTTCACTATTTTTCTTCCTTTATTTTTAAGAAAATTATTATTATACTCAATGTCGCTCTCATTAATAGCTCCCATTAATAGTAGGTCAAATGATGCACTTATTTCAACTTTTAGAGACCATAACACACATACTTGTAGACTAAAATTCTAAAAATTAAATTCTTATTCGATATTTGAATATTTTAAAATTCTGAGTTAATTTTTTTGAATACATAATCAAACAAATATTTTCATGCGTTTTTATAGAAACAATTTAATATATAATGATAAAATTTACAACTATTAATGAAATTCAAAAAAAAAATTTTTTTTTTGTTTTTTATTGAGTTTAGAAAAAACTTCATGTTTAACCAGAAAATTACTTTCATGTTATTTATCAACTTGCTTAGAAATATGTGTTATCATTGAGAATTCTTTTATTTTTCAAGGTTTTTGCTGCAGATAAAAACAACAAACTGATACGCAATATTAAAAACTTAAAAAAAAAAAAATGGTTTCATTCAGTTGATCAAATTATAAATTTTATTTTTTTAATAATTAATATTTAATGTCTGAGATGCCATCTTATAATAAAACAGCTTTAATTTCCCAAAAAGTTTTAATTAAAAATCAAGCAATTTCGGGTATTTTTTAAAACTCAAATAATTTTTCACTTGATTTTTTTAATTTTAATTTTAAAATTATGCTAGTAAGCTTTAGGTTTCAAATATTTATCGTTATTTTATTTTGTTTTTATGAACAAGAATTCATTTGATCTCATAAATATTTATTTTTTCCTCTTGAAAATTATTAATTATGATTTTAGAAACTAGTAGAAGAGGAAGAAGCTTTAATACTGAAATTGACGAAAGCAAAGAAAGTTACTGAATCTGTGAGTCGTAATTCCCTTTAATTCTTTTATTTTCTTACATTTAAAATTACATTTTCCAATAAATATATACATATTAAGAGAACAAAGAGTTTATCTTAGAAATCATCCTTTAAAAATCATACGAATTGTGTTGTTTTTTTTTAATTCATGCTTTTAAACATTATTTGATAAAGAGGACAGTGTTTTATTTTTATTTTATTACTACATTTTTAAACTTTATTTACAGACTTTTATTTTTGCAAGATTTTATATGTTTTGAATGAGTAATATACTCTACAAATGTATTGTATGTGTAAATATTAAAGAGTTTTACAGATGAATATTAAAATACATTGCAAAATAAAAGATAAAAAGAAAAAAAAAGCTTTTCATTTTTCCGAAACTTGCTTTACTCATCAAATAAAACAATTAAAACAAAAACTGTATTTTACAATTGGAATATTTTTGGTTCGTTAAGAAATAAAACTTTATTTTTAAATGTCCCACAAGATGTAAGATCAAATTAAGATGATTTTATCAAGATGTTTAAATGTTTCTTTCAGGATCATAAGCCACGAAGAAAAAGGAAAAGAAAAAATGATAAGGAAAATGTAAGTTATTATTTTTCTTTTCTGTGTAAAATAAATAATGAAAATAATTTTACAGCATTATTTTTGTTTAGTTACTCTAATTTTAATTAAAAATAATTTATAATTTTTTAGCACTATTATAACTGTAGTGCAATTTTCAAACAGTGAATTTAAAAAAAAATTTGAGACTGTTTTTTTTTTTACTAAATCGGTCTCTGATGGGCCCGTTTTCTGTAAAATAAGCCTATTGATGTAAAATAGACCTTTTCTAGCAAATCGTATAAGGTTTACATAGGCAAACAATTTTACATTTATTAATTTTTATCTCGCATATTTTTACCAGGTAAAGCAAAGAAACTCGCAACTTCAATACATTATTTTTATTACTAAATTATTTTTACTTTTAGAGAGGATTATTATGTAAGTAATATTTACTTAAACATTCTTTATTTAAAAACTGAACTGAAAACCAATTCCAGAAAATTTTCTTAGGAAAAAGAAAATATTAATTAGACGGTAAAATCTTCTAAGCGTGTAAAACTAAATATCAATTTTTCTACGACATCTTCATATTTTCTTTTTTTTAAAATTTATTTATGTATGAAATATATGGAATATTAGTTAATTAAATTAATAAATTAGTTACTATAATTAATTTACAATTATTAATTTAAATATGTCGATAATTCATATTTTAGCTTACAAATCAGTGAAAGATGATTTCAGATATAGAAATAGACCTTCTCTGAATTAACATACCTTTTTGACGACAGATTTAGGAAAGGGGTAGCAGCTATTTGGGAAATGCGGTTTCAATAGTCTGGACAAGAGAGAGTTTCAAAGCTTGGAAACCTTAATGTTAATTTTACTTTTTTTGGATATTTCACAATGTCTCGAGAACATTTTAAGTGGATTGAAGAATGTTTGTACACAATTATAAAATATATTTTTCTAAAGCAAAATATAACTTTTAATAAATATTGATATATTGCAAATATATATTGATAATTGAAATATTGCAAAATATAACTTTTAATAATTATTATTTTATTTAAAAACAGTCGAAATTTTTTTTAAATTGTAAGGTATGCAATTTTTTATATCATTTTAAAAAATAAAATTTTAAATAGCAAAAGTAAATTTTTTCTTTTTAACGAAGTCAGTTGAATAGCTCCTGATAAATCAAATTTTGAAAAAGTCGCATTTTTGAAATTAAAAAGGCATGTGAATTCAGAAGAAAGTGTCTTTTTGTGTCTGATTTTATAACTTAAATCATCCTATTAATTAGATTAAGCAAGGTCACTCCTTCAAGCCATTAAGATTGAGTCCCAAAACGCGAAAATCCAATATTTAAAGTAAAAAGTTATTTAGGGAGGTTCATTTTTTATTTTGTGTACTGAACACATAATGCAGTAGTAAAACTATCTGCTTCAAGTTTTTCGTTGTACATTTTGTATTTATTAAAATGCCTAAAAATAATTGTCGAAAATTTTTTCTTAGGAGTGCTCAGATGGTTTTTACGTTTCCATCTCTGAGCGTGCGAAGAATAATAAAAGAAGCTGTCGAAAATGAGTAAGTTTTTTTTTCTTCTTTTTTTTCTTACTATTACTTGCACTATTTTTAAGTTTTTCACACATTCGCCTTCAAAACATTTCATGTTTAGCTTTAAACGGTTATAGGAATCGATTGATTAAATATAAATTTTCCTGATTATACAATTCATACACTCCAAAGATGTACTAAAAGGAAGAAAAAAAAATAGTCGACATGAGCAAAAAAAAAGGCGGTATTCATTTTCAATATGTTCACTTCAATATGTGGGTACCAACTCAAATATGTTGACTGTTTTTTCTTATTTATATTTTTTTCTTATATATTTTTTAAACTAAAAAAGTTTTTAATTGAGTAAGATCTTACCACTTTAATTTTTAAGGTATTTAAATATGTCGATAATTCATATTTTAACTTACAAATCAGTGAAAGATGATTTCAGATATAGAAGTAGACCTTCTCTGAATTAACATACTTTTTTGACGACAGATTAAGGAAGGGGGTAGCAGCTATCTGGGAAATGCGGTTTCAATAGTCTGGACAGGAGAGAGGTCCAAAGCTTGAACCCCTTAATGTTAATTTTACTTTTTTTGGATATTTCACGATGTCTCAAGAACATTTTAAGTGGATTGAAGAATGTTTGTACACAATTATAAAATATATTTTTCTAAAGATAATTTCATGCAAAATATAACTTTTAATAAATATTGATTATTTTTTATTATTTTATTTAAAAACAGTCGAAATTTTTTTTAAATTGTAAGGTATGCAATTTTTTATATTATTTTAAAAAACACAATTTTAAATAGCAAAAGTAAATTTTTTCTTTTTAACGAAGTCAGTTGAATAGCTTCTGATAAATCAAATTTTGAAAAAGTCATATTTTTAAAATTAAAAAGGCATGTGAATTCAGAAGAAAGTGTCTTTTTGTGTCTGATTTTATAACTTAAATCATCCTATTAATTAGTTTAAGCGAGGTCACTCCCTCGAGCCATTAAGATTGAGTCCCAAAACGCGAAAATCCGATATTTAAAATAAAAGTTATTTAGGGAGGTTCATTTTTTATTTTGTGTACTGAACACATAATGCAGTAGTATAACTATCTGCCTCAAGTTTTTCGTTGCACATTTTATATGATCAGTTTTATTAAAATGCCTGAAAATAATTGTCGGAATTTTTTTCTTAGGAGTGCTCAGATGGTTTCTACGTTTCCATCTCTGAGCGTGCGAAGAATAATAAAAGAAGCTGTCGAAAATAAGTAAGTTTTTTTTTCTTTTTTTTCTTACTATTACTTGCATTATTTTTAAGTTTTTCACACATTCGCCTTCAAAACATTTCATGTTTAGCTTTAAACGGTTATAGGAATCGATTGATTAAATATAAATTTTCCTGATTATACAATTCATACACTCCGAAAATGTACAAAAAGGAAGGAAAAAAAATAGTCGACATGAGCAAAAAAAAAAGGCGGTATTCATTTTCAATATGTTCACTTCAATATGTCGGTACCAACTGAAATATGTTGACTGTTTTTTCTTATATATTTTTTAAACTAAAAAAGTTTTTAATCGGGTAAGATCTTACCACTTTAGTTTTTAAGGATTATTTGTTTGATTATTATAACTTTATTAAAAAGATAACCAATGACACATTTTACATAAGAGTATTCTCGTTCATTTTAAGAAAAGGTATTTTTGAATAAAATACAGTGGAACCTGTCTAAATTGACCACCCTCGGGACCAAGTCAAATGGCCGCTATATAGGGGTGGTCACTTTATGAAGACTCTTTAAAAAGGACTCTTTAAATACCTTACTCAAGGTGCTCACTTTACCCAGGTGGTCACTTTTACTGGCTCCACTGTATAATCAGAGATATTCTGTAATACAAAGAGGGGTGGGTGTAGCTACTGAGTGTTCAATGTGTCCATGCATGCGTAAAGATTTAGGCGTTCTTTTTCTTTTCTTTATTACCTTCGCATAGCAGATTGAAATATCTATCGCTGTTTATGGGCAAATAACTTTTTAAATGTTTTACACTTAAAAAAATGAATTTTTTGAATTTTTCTTTACTTTTTGGATGAAAACACTTCAGGCGGTAGGTATGTACTTTATTTATGTCGCCCTAAAGCTTCACAATGAGCTTTTGATAAAGATCTGGGAAACATCCTTCAGTGATGCTTCAGGGAACCGTGTCTTTTACAATCAGTCCACTGCGGGACCATTTCAGACGAACAGAAAATGTCTGACTGAATGTTCCCAGAACATTCCTCTCGGGGGGAAAAAATACAGTGTTATTTTTTGAAATTTTCTAATATTCTTATTAACTATTTTTCTTCCGATTTTGGAATAAAAATTTTTATTCTTTTTTTAGTTTGGATTGGACGTTCTTTTTACTTCGCATTCTTCCTCATAAAACCTTGTATGACATTATTTTGCTTTCTAATCTCTCCATTTCATTTCATTTTATTTTATTTTGTAACTGGCCCTCAACAGCTGAACCAATTCTGAGTTTAAGACTATTAATGTTCAGCACCATAGTGTTGCACTTTTAAACCCAACCCTGAAGACAAGGGAACTCTTTGATCAAGCATTGGGGTAAACTTCGTAGAGGACCGTTTGATGAAACTAACACGTATTTTCGTTCCACGGTGATAAAAGCCTCCAATGGTAGTTAGAGGACAAAATTCTAACCCATGATCCGTCTACTACTGAGATTATTTAATGTTAGCGCTGTTGTCGGTTTGAACTGGAAGCAGAATTCGTATCAACCAGCTATCGTTGGGATTTCAAACTGGGTCACCTCACTGGGAAGCGAGCGTTTAAGCACCTTAGCTACTTTGGCTCTACGTATATTAAATAGAAAGTATTATGCATCTTTAAAGATTATCTTAACGAGAAATTCGATTACTAAATCAAAAGCTATAACAAGTTATTCTCTTTTTAAAATGGCGCCCATAAAGAGCTTGTTTTAATGAATTACATTTAATTTTAGTTCATGAAATGCACTGGCAAGCCATGAACTTCTTCTGGCAGAGTTTTTTAAAGTTAAAGTATTTAACTTTCTTTTTTGTTGATTTTATCGTGTAAATAAACAATATTCTATAATTATTTATGTAAATAAATGAACATTGATTTCAGAATTCATCAGGGAAATATACTATATGCGTCTTTTCAAATCTGCGAATATGAGTTAATGCCAAATCACGGTCTTTGTTTTTGATGTGTTTTGAAATCATTAGCCGGTTAATACGATTTATATTTTTTATTAACAAGGTTTTTTAAAGCTATGGAAAGTAATAAAAAAAAAGAAAAAAAAACGCAGTTTATGTGCCTTACACTTGAAGCAAATCTATAATTTTAAACTGTATATACCATCTTGCTGTAAAGAATAATCTCTGCTTTATAACGGACAAATAATAAAAAAATATTTTAAAAGTTTTTAACCATTTTTAAAAATCACCAATTTTTTTGAATTTTTTTTCACTCAGATAAAGATTATCAAAATCAGTGCCTTATTCTTATTTTTTAGAAATTTTTATGAGCACAGAAAATGCAGCTTCGGAGTAAATTTCAAAATATTTAAAAATGAGACCACAAACGGCTTTCATTTTCTTCAAAATGCAGCTTTTCTCCATTTTGCACCATTTTCATAACGAACATGAAGGCGCTTGTGAAAAGTAGGCTAAGCTTGATCAAGCGGTCATGAGTAACAAAAAAAGCATCATNTTTTTTAAAGCTAAGGAAAGTAATAAAAAAAAAAGAAAAAAAAACGTAGTTTAAGTGCCTTACGCTTGAAGCAAATCTAAAATTTTAAACTGTATATACCATCTTGCTGTAAAGAATTATCTCTGCTTTATAACGGACAAATAATAAAAAAATATTTTAAAAGTTTTTAACCATTTTTAAAAATCACCAATTTTTTCGAATTTTTTTCCACTCAGGTAAAGATTATCAAAATCAATGCCTTATTCTTATTTTTTAGAAATTTTTATGAGCACAGAAAATGCAGCTTCGGAGTAAATTTCAAAATATTTAAAAATGAGACCACAAACGGCTTTCATTTTCTCAAAACTGCGGCTTTTCTCCATTTTGCACCATTTTCATAACGAACATGAAGGCGCTTGTGAAAAATAGGCTAAACTTGATCAAGCTGTCATGAGTAACAAAAAAAGCATCATTTCATGCAACTTCGAACAAAATAGCCCTTAAAATTCTTTTTCATAAATTTTAGTAAATAAAAATGTTTATTTAAATATGTTTATTTAAATATTTTCTAAGCTGATTTCTGTTACAATTAATAAGGCTAGTGGTGAAATGAACCTGACTGAGATTTTTTTTTTCACATCATTAGAACTGGAATGAATATATCGTCCTGAATGAAATGTATTATGTATGTCTTTATATACATGTTTTATTGATGTAAATGTTCAAATTATTCATTATCATACTATTAAATATTCATCGATTCACAGTTATAGTGCAACACAAATGACGATAATTATGTAAATTTGAAAGATTTTTGTAAATAAGTTTAATAAACACTTTTGTTTTTGTATTATCTAGATTATTAAGTGAATCATTCCAATTCGAATTGAAAATCCTGATTATTTTCATAAGGACTATAAGATAAAGGAAAATGGTGCAATTCGAAAAGTTTAATTAGTTCTTAGATATTTATTCAGGATGCTTTTCTGCAATAGTCGTTATCAATTCAAACAGATAAACATACATTTCCTTATATGATTTCAGATCTTATAATACGTATCCAAATTCCAAGTTCGTTTTAGTTAAAAAAAAAACAGAATAAATTTATAAGTTAATAAAAAATTGTGTGAAAATATAGTCGCAATTAAGAATTCAATTAAGGCTGTCAAAAATTTGCACAGTATTATGGTTCAATAATTAGATTCAGTTCAAAGTTGAACAAAATTTTCTTAGAGTAAAGGAACTTAATAAATTTCACAATAATTTTGTTCCTAGTGTGTACTTTTATCATTAAAATTATTGTTAAGCTCTCAATATAAGAAATTTAGGGGGAGTCACGGTTTTTTATGGCAAAGAAAATTCTAACAAGTTTAATTCACAAAAGTTTTTCTTT